CCTTCTCGAGGGTGACTTCCTGGGTCTCCTTCTCGGGCTCGAGGGTGACTTCCTGGGTCTCCTTCTCGGGCTCTTGGGCGGATTCGACGGGTTCCTCCTTTTCGAGCTCTTCGAGGAATTCCTACTCGAGCTCGAACCATTGGGGGACTTCCTGGGTCTCCTTCTCGGGCTCTCGGGCGCATTCGACGGGTTCCTCCTTTTCGAGCTCTCGGGCGCATTCGACGGGTTCCTCCTTTTCGAGCTCTCGGGCGCATTCGACGGGTTCCTCCTTTTCGAGCTCTTCGAGGAATTCCTACTCGAGCTCGAACCATTGGGGGACTTCCTGGGTCTCCTTCTCGGGCTCTCGGGCGCATTCGACGGGTTCCTCCTTTTCGAGCTCTCGGGCGCATTCGACGGGTTCCTCCTTTTCGAGCTCTCGGGCGCATTCGACGGGTTCCTCCTTTTCGAGCTCTCGGGCGCATTCGACGGGTTCCTCCTTTTCGAGCTCTCGGGCGCATTCGACGGGTTCCTCCTTTTCGAGCTCATTCGACGGGTTCCTCCTTTTCGAGCTCTCGGGCGCATTCGACGGGTTCCTCCTTTTCGAGCTCTCGGGCGCATTCGACGGGTTCCTCCTTTTCGAGCTCTCGGGCGCATTCGACGGATTCCTCCTTTTCGAGCTCTCGGGCGCATTCGACGGTTCCTCCTTTTCGAGCTCTATTCGACGGGTTCCTCCTCGACGCATTCGACGGTTCCTCCTTTTCGAGCTCTCGGGCGCATTCGAACGATTTTCGAGCTCTTCGAGGAATTCCTACTCGAGCTCGAACCATTGGGGGACTTCCTGGGTCTCCTTCTCGGGCTCTCGGGCGCATTCGACGGGTTCCTCCTTTTCGAGCTCTCGGGCGCATTCGACGGGTTCCTCCTTTTCGAGCTCTTCGAGGAATTCCTACTCGAGCTCGAACCATTGGGGGACTTCCTGGGTCTCGGGCTCTCGGGCGCATTCGATTCGAGCTCTCGGGCGCATTCGACGGGTTCCTCCTTTTCGAGCTCTTCGAGGAATTCCTACTCGAGCTCGAACCATTGGGGGACTTCCTGGGTCTCCTTCTCGGGCTCTCGGGCGCATTCGACGGGTTCCTCCTTTTCGAGCTCTTCGAGGAATTCCTACTCGAGCCCTTGGGCGACTTCCTGGGTCTCCTCCTCGGGCTCGAGGGTGACTTCCTGGGTCTCCTTCTCGGGCTCTTGGCGGACAACATAATGGAGGATTCCTGATTTGACCCTTATTCTTTCGTCCTCTTTCAAGTGGTTGGTTAAACTTCTAAGATGTTTCATGAATTCGAAGAGGCTGTCATCTTTCCGGGTTTTCCGGTAGTCTATGATGCCGTTTTTGATCCTCTTCTTGTCGACCTCATCCAACCCTTCTAGGAGAGTTTCCAGAAAATCTTGGAAACGGTGGTCAAGTTGCTCCTTGTCCTGGAGCTCGCGTTTTTCCTCCTCGACGTAGCTGTGGATTCCTGCTTGGACCCTTATTCTTTCGTCCTCTTTCAAGTGGTTGGTTAAACTTCTAAGATGTTTCATGAATTCGAAGAGGCTGTCATCTTTCCGGGTTTTCCGGTAGTCTATGATGCCGTTTTTGATCCTCTTCTTGTCGACCTCATCCAACCCTTCTAGGAGAGTTTCCAGAAAATCTTGGAAACGGTGGTCAAGTTTCCTTGTCCTGGAGCTCGCGTTTTTTCTCCTCGATAACGTATCTGTGGATTCCTGCTTGGACCCTTATTCTTTCGTCCTCTTTCAAGTGGTTGGTTAAACTTCTAAGATGTTTCGTGAATTCGAAGAGGCTGTCATCTTTCCGGGTTTTCCGGTAGTCCATGATGCCGTTTTTGATCCTCTTCTTGTCGACCTCATCCAACCCTTCTAGGAGAGTTTCCATATGGGGGTCTATGACGGGGTACTTAAAGAGACGGCCGACTTCCCAGGTCTCCTTTCCAGAACATAAAGTCGTCGTTTCTGACTGATCGCGGTTATTCATCATTCCCGAAATACAGCCTATTAGACTTAAATATACAAAAATTACTTTTGCGCTCATTAAAGTCCCTTTAATATTTCTCTCTAAATAGTGTGTTAGTAAAGAGGTTATGCGTGTCCTTTCATTATTAATTTATATATATATGAATAGAAAAACAATGCCGTGTTGCCGTGTTGGTGGAAAAACCCACAATGTACAAACGATTTACTGAGGAAAGTTTCGGAATCGTCCTCGATTCCATATCTTCGGGTCTGTGGAGGCAAGGGAGAGGAAGCGGTATAAAAGGGAAGGGAGGAGAAGTACTCGGAAAAGTTCCTTCTCTACCTATCCACATCTCTCTCTCTCTCTCTCTCTCTCTCTCTCTCTCTCTCTCTCTCTCTCTCTCTCTCTCTCTCTCTCTCTCTCTCTCTCTCTCTCTCTCTCTCTCGCTCTCTCTCTTGAAGATTGGGTTAATCATGATGAATAATCAATGTATAGATGAATGAGTAACTTGGCGATGTGTTCTAACTTGATCAAAAAGATAATTATGAGCTCATTAAAGAGGGAATTTAAGTACCTTTTTTGATTCTCTCCACTTCTCTCTCTTTTCCACCTCTTCAACTAACCCAACTCCAACCCTCCACCTTCACCTAACCCCACTCCACATCCACCTCCATCTCCGTCTCCAACCTCCACCAAAAAACATTCTCCACTTCTCTCTCTCCCTCGTCCCATTCTACTTTTTCCATCTTGTATTGGGGTGACTGTCGAGCTCTGAATTAAAAAGGATTCATGAACCCGAAGGGACTCGGCGCCGGGCGTCGGGGCGGAATAATTGAGAGAAAAATACCACATAAATAAGATAAACGCAAACATATATTGACAGGGACGGCAACTCACAACCACGAACCAAAACATCACAATATAAACGATTGTGTTCATAAAAATATGTTATCAATACATTCGTTTTGAATCAGCGACAACCACGTGCAACGACGACAAAGGATAAAGATCGCCGTGTGAAGAAACCCGAGAGAAGAAGGAAACTGTTTGCCGTCTGTCTGTGTCTCGTCCTCTTCCTCTGCCATTCTGTTTCTAATTTCTTTCATAATGAAATTGATAAAACATTAAACATAACTGTTATTACACCGAACACATTTATTGTTAAACCCACATTATTCTTATTGTTTCGTGAGAACATCTTAAATTCTATTTCCTTGATCTGCTTAACTAAAAAAATATATACATATATGGATAAAATGCAAGATTTACACACACACGTTTATAAGTGTTTATATATATATATATATATATATATATATATATATATATATATATATATATATATATATATATATATATATATACTCACACACATTTGTGTGTGTAGCCTTCGTGTTGCAAGAAAAGTGTATATATACCCTGCCAGCATCGGCAGTGCGTGCGTCCACCTAAGGCAGCTTACAGGATCAGCTGATACATCCCAGTTTCACCAGAGAGGTGCGCAGGTATGTGTGTGTGGTGTCTCATGTGTCGATGTGTAAGTGTATGTGTTTCGTGTGTGTGCAAGTGTCTTACGTGACTGTGCATTTGATACTGCCGCGGACGGGGCCACCGCGACAGCAATAGTGAAAAAGGCCACTTATTTATTTAACTAAATCATCGGACAGCCGCGCGCGCAGATGATGTGTAGACTTAGGTTCGAATCCCGGTGTAGAGTATTTTTATATATATTATTCATTTATTTCCAGGGAAGAGAGCAAGTGTCCTCTCAGAATGCAAACAGAAGATGGGAAGAGAATAATTTTCACACTTTTTCAGCAGCTGAAAAAAGAGAACTTTAATTAGAAATTAGAAGGGAACCCCACTTCCCTCGAGATTTTTCGTGCAGGCTGTCAACACGTGTCGAGGGCTCTTCACTCCGGCAGTTTCTTGTCGCCCGTTCCCTGTGCTCTGCCCTTAGCTCTCTCTTTCGGTCATCTGTGTAGAATGTTTTTTTTTTTTTTAATTCCTGACGAAACTTTGGTCTCCATTTTTTTCAGATTTACAATAATTAAAAGCTCTCTTTTACTCCAGGATCAGACCATCGCTT